AAATTAAAAGTAAGGTATGAACCATCTGATTTTTTTATAGATTAATAAATAACTAAATCCATATTTCCTATCACTTTTAATACTAACATTGGGCTTTGAACTAAAATAACCTTGTAATATTTTAAATAAGAAAATGTATTCTTCTGTCCACCAAGCTCTTTAGCTGCTAATTATAAACCTCTGTCTCTGCTGCCGATTTGGAAATAATTCAAAGGAGCTTTAAAAAAAATTTGACGTTAAACAAATTGGCCACATCAGAGATAACTAAGTTTAAATAAACCTTTGTCTTTCCAGTTGCACGCACGGCATTGCTCTTATTTACTCGGGGTCGCTGAAATCCCACGGCGTCCGCTGCAGGCGTTGCTCCGGCAGCCTATGGGGTAGATTCCTCTGTCCTGGAAGCGGGTGTCTCCCTAATTGAAAACCTCTCTTTAGCAGCAGTGGGAACAGGGTTGATGGTGCTAACAGGGATTCAGTCTTGCAATCTGCCGGGCTGGTTCTGACCTTTGTAGGTCAATGACCGGGGTCACCCTGCAGCCATCTAAATTCCCAGACCTATCTCCCAAAATGTTATTTCTGACACAAACAAAAACTGTGGGACTCCTTGAGCTGGGCCAGTTACTTCTGACAGCTGCCAAACTTGAAACGTGGTACTCCAAGGAACAAAGGTTTTGCCGGGCAGGTGTGGCCCAGTGGTTGAGCCTCAGCCTGTGATCCAGGCGGTCACAGCCGAGTCCTGGTCGGGGCACATGCCCGGGGTGCAGGCTCGGCCCGGGCACGGGTGGGCACGAGGCAGCCGAAAAGTGTCAGGCTCTGGCGTGGATGTTTCTCTCTCTCTCAGAAATCAATAAAAACTTAAACAGAAGGTTTTGGCCCAACCTCAGCAGGTCGCCAGGCAGAACTCCCCTTGTGAGTTGGAAGCAGGTTGGCCGTCGGGGCCGTCACTTGCTCAGACGCTGGAACTTCAGCGCCGGGTTCAAGGACGATCCTTTCACGAGGCGTCACAGCCCCACTGTTCTGAAGGCGCCGAGCTTCACAAATTAAACTATTGAAAGCCCAGCTGTGCTGCGTCTACACACTTGGTTGTGCCCCCAAAGGCCGGGGGTTTCACGGGCGGCGGGCAGGGGCCGGTGGGCACGTGGGCGCAGAATCCACAAGATGGGGCAGCGCGGGCACCTCGGGGCGGGCCCGGCAGGTCCGGCCTTTTGCCCCAGGGGAGGCTCAGCGCGCGCGGTGAGGGCTCCAGGGGCCGG